GCGGGGTGGGCCGGGCAGCGCAGCAGGCGCGGCAGCAACAGGCGCGTCCAGGGCCCTTGGAAGGCCGCGGGGTCGGAGTCTAGCCCTGCCTCCTCTTCCAGCGCGTGCCGCACGGCCTCCAGCGCGCGCCGCCGGCCTAGCTTGTTGTCCGCCTCCAGCCCGGGCAGCAGGCGGCTCAGGGCGCGGCTCAGCTCCACCGCCTCGTCAGTGTGAGCCGGCTCAGCGGGTCTTAGGCCCGCCGACTCGGCCGCCGCCGGCGCCGCCATCTTCCTCGCGTTGCCGTCGCTAGGGGAACCGGCGCTTTTACGACGTCCGCGGCGCGGATTACGGCACGACTTCCGCCGACACAACTTGATTGGCAGCGGGCGGTTTGTCCAGGAAGCGGTGAGAGGGAGGTGGCGGGCGGAGCTGTGGGGCTCCGCGCTCCCGTGACCCAGCAAGATCAGTGGTTTGGTCCCACCGGCTAGGCTAAGGTGAGAGACGGCGTAGACGGATCCTCCATCCGCACCTGGCACTGCCGGATGAGCCTCCCTGCTCCTTGGCCCTGTACCCAGTCTACCTGTGGAATACACCTGTATAGAGGTGGTGCACCCTGTCCGAGTCCGGCGGTGGAGGCGCGGAGCTCTGGGTCTGGGCCTTTCCTTTGGTGAAGTCCTGCCCCGCGTGACGAGAGGACGTCTAAGAAGGAGCCGGCCTATCACTCCGCGATAGCCAGGGAGCTCCTGGAAATGCCAGAAAGGGATCTTTTGCTGATTGGATCCCACCTGTGGCTTAAGTTACATGGTGTACACGACAGTAGTCTCAGGGAGGCAGGTTAGGACACGCAGAGATGATGGCATGGACGGTTGCTACAGCCGTTACCCTGAACCATAAACTCAGATGGCATCAGAGGCCTCCCAAGAGGATGGAAGGAGCCACACACTAGTGCTAGTGAATGGCATGGGTGAGAGCCTGCAGTGGAGCGAGGATCTGATAGAGACCCCTGAAAATTAGTTTCCAAATTCTGGTCAGCCAGGCAGCTCCCGTCTGACATGTGCTTAGTGAGTTTTAAAAAAAGCAAGATATCCTCAGTTTTAAGGGTCAAACTTTGAACTGGCCCCGTTGTTATTGCAGAAATTAGTTTTGTAGAATGGTGGTGTTAATAGGTTATCATTGTTTGTAAATGTCTTTGGGAGCGTTCAGTTACCTTCAGTTCTTTCCTTCAATAGATTTGGACAGGCATATCTGAAGCCCCTGGGATGTGCTGACAATGACCTGGTCCCTCTTCTCACAGATCTTTCAGTCTAGCAGGAAGAGAGAGGCCCTTAGTGAAAAAAATCATATTAATAAATGTTTGACTACAGAGATTCTAAGAGGTTGAATGGGAAAGGAAGTTGATCTAGACTTGTAAAGCGTCCCTGATGAAGTGATAGTAGAAATAAAATAGGAAGAATAAATAGAGGCAACCAGGCGAAATAGGATGCCAAAGAGGTCCAGAGGGAGTAGATAGCATAGGCAAAGGCCTTTTGGTGAATGTTATGGGCTGAATTGTGTCTCCTCATCCCCCTAGAAAAAAAAAATTTATATGTTAAATTCTTAACCCATTACGTCAGAACATGACCTCACTTGGAGACAGGGTCTTTGTTGATATCATCAGGTTAAGTTGACATCATTAGAATGGGCTCTAATCTGTTATAACTGGTGTCCACATTGAAAAAATGGGAGGGGATTTAGAAGATAGACACAGGGAGAAGGCTGTGTGATAATGAAGACAGCTATTTACAAGCCAAGGACCAAGGAGAGAGACCTGAGAAGTAACCAGCTCTGCAGCCACCCTCATCTCAGACTTGAAGCCTCCAGATTGTAAAAAATATGATGTCTGTTGTTTAAGTTTCCCAGTCCATGGTACTTTGTTATGGCAGCTACAGGAAATGAATGGCTTGGAGGGAGCCGATATTTTTCTTCAAAAAAATAAAGTAAAGCTTTAAATCATCCCTGGGATAGGTGGGGGTGTGTGTGACTTCTTGCTTTCTTTATCTCTGTCTCTCTCTGGTGAGCACATGCACCCGATAGCAAAAATCTCTCTGAAATTTTTTTTTTTTCAAAATAAATAAATAGAATCAGGACTCTCCAAAAATAATAACCCAAATGTCCAGGATACATTTCATAATCAGTTACCATACCAAGAACTAGGAAAGCCACAATTTGAGTGTGAAAAGACAGTTAATGGACATGAATGCCAGGATGAATCAGCTATTGGAATTATCCACCAAGATTTTAAAGCAGTTATAAAAATGTTTTAAACAGTAATTAGGAGTTCATTTGAAACAAATGGGAAAATAGAAAATCTCAGCAAAGTGAAGTTTGGAAAAGAACGAAATGGAAATTACAGAACTGAAAAAACATAACCAAAATAACATTTGTCCTTTGCTGGGAGCATGCAGCAGAGATGACAGTATGCCATCAGGGAACTTGAAAAGAGAGCAATAGAATTCCCCTGATTTGAGCAACCACAAGAAAATACACTGAGAAAAAAAATGAACAGCATCTCGGAGATCTGGAACAATACTTTGTATCACCAGCATCCCAGAGGAAGAGAAAGTGTGAGACTGAAAAAATATTTGAAGAAATAATGATTGAAAATGTCCTGAATATAATGAAAACCATAAAGCCACAGATTCAAGAAGCTGAGCAAGCTCCAATAGGATAAACTCTCTGTGAATCCACACCAAAACACATCATAATTAAATTTCTCAAGTCTAAGGACAGGAAGAAATATTAACAGAGTGAGATGACACATTGCCTGTAGTAGAAAACCAATTTGAATGACAGTAGACTTCTTATCTGAGACCAGAGTGGCGGTCTTATTTCAAGTGTGGAAAGGAAAGAAGAGTCAATAATGAACCGTCTATTCAGTAAAACTGTCCTTTAGGAATGAAGTAGAAATAGGCAAGCTATTGCTCAGGCAAAGGCAAACTGAAAGAATTTGTTGCTAACAGACCTACCTTTAAGGAGTGCTGAAAGAAAACTCTCTAAACAGAAAGTGTAATAGACAAAGGTTGGGGCCTTCAGAAAGTTAAGAACAATGGACTGGGTTAGAATAGAAGTAAATGGTACCTGGGGGGAGGGCAAGTGGCATGGTAGTTAAGGGCACTGGATTTCCACGTGACCCACCATGGGTAGAGTCCCAGACCTAGTGACATAAATTCTCACTTTCTGTCTCTCATCTCTCTCTCTCGCATTCTCACATTCTGTCTCTCATCTCTCTCTCTGTCCCTTTCTGGCCAAATTAAAATAAATGTTATGGCCAGCAGGTGGCATGGTGGTTAAGGATGCTGGACTCCCATATGGCTGGCTGCGGTTCAAGTCCCGGACCTGGCAGCTTGCTTTCTCTCCCTCTCTCTCTGTACCTCCCTAGTCAAATTAAAAATAAATAAATAAGGTTAAATGAAATAATTCTTTAAAAAAATAAATGTTAAATAAATTTTTAAAAAAACTTTTAAAAAAGTAAACATACCTGATCATCCTTTATCTCATGAGTTTCTTTCATTGTATTTAATGGTTGAAGCAAAAATTATAGCACTCATTGGTTGTATTATAAAGCAGTAGATTGCTCAGTATATGTGGAAGAAATACTTGTATTATATTTCAAAAATGATAACAGCAGAGGGACTTAAATGAAAAGTTTCTACAGTGCCCTCCCTTTTTTTTTCTTTTGCCAAAAGGCATGTGCACTCACCAGAAAGAGACACGGAGAGAAGAACACTCTATTAGGTAATGTCATGCTACAATCCCTTCTTTTCTATCTTCTTCCCTTTGGGATTTCAGGCACATGCACACAAGATGCCAAGTATGTTTCTCAAGCCACCAGGTCTAGGACTCAAACTATGCAGTCGGCCATGTGGAATCTGACTGCCTTACCCACCAGCCCATGGAGCTGGCCCTCTACAGTGCACTAGAAGAACACTAGTGGTACCAAACAACAGTGGTTCCAATAGAATACGATATTTATGTACATGGTGAAACCTAGAGCAAACACTAAGAAAACTAAACAGTGATATGCCCAAACACATTATGGAGTGGAATTCTAAAAAATGCTCAAGAATCTTACAGTCAAGCATGAGAGAGGGAACAAAAACAAAACAAATAGTTAAATGGCAAACTTAAGCATTATCAGTAATTTAACTGTAAACACAGAGACCTGTAAGATCAAGATGGCAAAATAGGGAAAAAAAAAAACTGAACAAGAAATAAACACAACTGCTGTGTTGTGTTTGTTGTCTACTGTATGCTGAAACTCATTCAAACCTACTGGCATAGGTCAATTGAAAGTAAGGATGGAAGGGTGAATGTCATGTCATGGTGGGTTAGGCTGTTGGACTCCCACAGGGCCAACTGCAATTCAAGTCATGGTCCTGATGGCTCACTTTCTCACTTTTTCTCTCTGTCTCTAGAGAATTAAAATAATAATGATTATAATTAGTAATAAAATTAAGTAATTCTTTTTAAAAGTAAGGATTAAAAAAAAGACATATCATGTTAGCCTTAATTTGAGAAAAATAGTGGCTATATTGATATCAGCCAATATAGACTTCAGTGCAAAGACATTTTCTAGAGAAAAACAGGGGCACAACTTAATGATTAGATGATCAACCTACTAATTATATATAGCAATCTCAAATGTGTATGTGCCAAACAACAGATCTTCAAAATAAAGACATCTGATAAAGCTAGAAGGAGAAAGAGACAAATTGCTATTATAGTTGAGTACTTCAACACTCTGCGCTTGTCAGTTGCTAGAATTATTAGATAATCAGCAAGATAGAGAACGCCATTATGATCTAATTGACATTACAGAACATTTCTCCTAACAACAGAGTTCACATTCTTTTCAGGAGGCTACGGGACATATACCAAGATCAATGTATTCTGGACCATGAAACAAACCTTAGAAAATTTAAAATAATTAAATCACACAGAACATGTTTGGTGACATTAGTGGAATCAA